CAGAACCAGAGTGCAGCATAACGGAAAAATTGGAAAACCCAACATGCATTAATTGCAATGAAGTAGGCCATTTGGCCAGTTCGTATAATTGCCCAAAGTACCCCCAAATTAAAAAGAAAACAGGCGACCCAATTCAGAACACAAATCAAAACAGAAATAATGTTATCACCCAAGCCAATAATGTCGTCGCAAAGGATTTTTCCTATGCCGATGCACTTAAAGGCACAAATTCAAAAACCAAATCAAATACTACAAAGCCCGATACACAGACAGCAACTCCAGCCCAAAGTCAAGATACCCCACTCTCCACTGCTAACGAAAACTCAAATGAAAAACCCTTCGGTGTAATGGACGCCGTTTTCGAAATCACACACACAGGAAGCTCTTTGCTGACTACCTATTTCTTTTAGAATTGGAGAAGCAGCTAAGAGTGGCCAAGGGAAAAGAAAGGATAGATGTTTTCTATCAGCACGTAATTGATAACTATGAGTAGTTGGCTTACCCATCTACTCTATCAACTGCAAAAAAATTTCATACTAACTTCCCAGCAAAACCCCTCCCAACTCTTCATCACGCCTCCGAGCCTACTCGAACTCTCAATGGGAGTTGAGTTGCCTGGCCAATAGGAAAGCCCACTTTCCTACCCTCCGAAGATTTCATCTTCCTTCCCACCATTTTCAACCTTCCCGACACGTCACCTACTCCCCGATAACTTTCCTCCAACTTTCCCGCCACTTCAGCTACACTCCGAGTTCTCGCCTCCCGATTGGGCAGGCGCTTCACTCGTCATGTTCACAGTCGAAAGCAACGAAAATTAGAATTATCGAGTGCCAGCGCGAACCGCTTATACTCAGTTTGAGAAGAAAAGTTAAACCATGTATAGTCGAAAGTCCGGCTCGCCAGTACTTTCGAATCCCCGAAAATACACTTTTTAATTTATTTTTCTCATGGCAATCTTGCATTTTTAATTACATTAACAAAAAAGGGCAAACTATAGAACGAATGCTAACCACCCAAATTGAAAAGATAGGAGATTTAGATCTCAACTGGAGATCATGCGCTCTAATAAATTGTCAACACCTCAACGCACTGTGATGGCACGCAGTTACGTAGACGAAGTTTTAACGCCAGTTGTATCAATCTATCAAGTCGCCCAAGTGTCATTTATCAGCAAAACAACGCTTCGCCCCAAACTACACGACTCTTCCAACAATGCTTTTGAGGATATGACGTACACCTGTGACCTGCCAGATCACCAGATCTCTCGCCAGTAGAGTAAGTCAGGGACGTGCTTGGAAGGCAACTGCAGCCGTCCCAGAATACTAATGAATTAACTGCCCAGTAGCAAAGATTAAGGCATGATCTTAAGCAGTAAATCATAGTGATCGCACTAATTCGATAGCAAGCCGTGTGTGTGTGTGTGTGTGTGTGTGTGTGTGTGTGTGTGTGTGTGTGTGTGTGTGTGTGTGTGTGTGTGTGGTGTGTGTGTGTGTGTGTGTGTGTGTGTGTGTGTGTGTGTGTGTGTGTGTGCATATATATAAACTGCAGAATATCGATATCCGAGTATGCCGATACCTAATTATTTAAGGTTAAACTCGCAAGATTTATGAAGCACTTTCTTTCAACTCGATATTAATACAAATAAAAATGTAAATGCTTTTTACATTCTTATTTATGTTGCACAGAAGCATCAAATGAATATCATTAAAAAGGGAAAAAATTAACCAGTTTTTCATTATATATATAATATGGTAATTTTTATTAAAATTTTATAAATTTCCGATTTTTAAGTAGTTTTGAAATTTTAACCCTCTACGGCAGTACTTATAAGTACCACTCACTTTAAAATTACATGGAATATAAACATTTTTAGGAATACTCTGACGATACTTAGCAGGAATATTCTTTTAAATCGACTCTTCTAAGATATATAACAGCACGGGTTCTATGATGAGTATTTTAGCGGGAAAGGCGAATAGTTTTATAGTAGAAATTGCGTTTTCAGTTGACATTTTGATCGGATTGCGAAGATTGTCATTTTTGTTCCGAAAAAGTTGTTATTGTCAAAAAGTCTTCTTTTTTTTTGTATGTTAATGAAGATCTTAGAAAATGATATGATTATTTATTTTAAGTAAACAGTGTATATAATTAATTTTACAGTTTAAGATCTTTAATTAATTAATTAGCTCTAACGGATTAAATTTCCCAAAGTTGAATATTTTGTTTATGTATATTCCTTAATTTTCAATGAAGTGACTCAAAAAAAAATATTGCATGAAAAAAACTGCAGTAAATCATAATGCGGTAGATAAATGGTTAAAGTCTTAAAATGTCTTACTCTGCAGTGATCTGCAACAATCTCATCTCCAGAAACTTTATTATTAATTAGATCCTATAAGTTTTTTTTTCTTGCTTAAATGTCTCATAAGGATTATAATTCATAGTTAAGAAAAAACTTGAGTGTTTTTCGTTCAATTAATTTGAATTAAATTTGCCTCTCAAGCTTATACTGTGTTTTTGGAAAACGTTATTTCCACCCAACATTTATTTTAACGCTAGTCTTTATTTTTGAATAGATACAAGCATTTATAAGGAATTTTACTTTAAATCAAATAGTCTTCTTAATTCTTAGGAAGTTTCGAATACTCCAACTTAATATTTAAACTATGACATCCAATAATTTATTAACCATAACAAGCTTATATTAACAAAATAAAAAAAATGTACATGTAAAATAATGCTAATTTTTTTAGACTCTGAATATGCTTTTTCTTTTTGCATGCGTAATGTTTGCATATTAATCACAGAGATAATATGAAAACATTACGCATGCATAATATTTTACAATGCTTCTTATCAACTCTCCATTGTAAATCTTTATCTTCATTGATACCTAACCATTATCTGTCTCATTCTCTTTCAAGTATAAGCTTTCATCCTAAGCATAATGGTTTAGATTTTATATCGAATATTTTGATGAGTAATTAAATATATCTGTTATATAAGATAACACATATTAAAAAAAAAAACATGAGCTAAAACTAATATTTTTTAGCTTAAAGTAATTTTTGTTTCAATTATATTTTGATTTGTGAAAGCTATCATAAGGTATTAAAAATATAAACTTTATGAAATGAGTGTAAAATATTTAGAAGCATACACATTGCTATTATAAAAAAAAATTATTCTGTAACCACCCTTTTCCTCCCTTATTAACGTGGGTGCCAAATTATAAGGGGGTGACCCAATGTAATACAGGGATACGCGGGGAATGGGTTCTTAACTAAGTCCACTAGTTAATGAAAACACGTTTATTAGACAAAACAAACATTTACATACATAACTAGAGAACTAATATTTAGATTAGAATTGAAAGGGATCGGAGCGCATGCTAGTACTTTCTTACAGTCCCGAAACTTGGCCATCACTGAAGATTGTTCTAGCCGCTAGAGGGCGTGAAAATCTTTCTACTGTTAATATGGGGGAAGTCTAAACAAAGGGTGGTTACAATTCTATATTTTGCAATTGATTTTTCTTAAAACATACTAACCTCTTGTAAATGAGATTCTGGAAAGGGGTTCTCCAAGTCTTTTTCTAATTGTGGTACGATATATCCCAATTTAACAGGATCTCCTAATGCATTTCCATCGTAAAGATCGAATCGTTTTTTATGGAAAGCATTATGAAGACGTATTGTAACATAAGCTGTAATCCATTTAATCCAGTAGACGAATTCTGTGAAAAAGAAGTTTCTGATTTCAAATTCTGTTTATTTATAAAAGAAAAAAATGGAAACTAGGATTTTTACCCTCTCTTGTTATTTGTTAGACATTTTTATAATGTAAAAATCTTGGTAGAGAATTTGGTTCTTTGCATTACAATAATAGCTTGACTATTTTAACACTATTTCTACCAAGCGGTGTAAAAAGACACTTTTTAAATTTTCTTTGAATTATTCTTTAAATTTATTTCCAACAAAATATATAGAACCTACAACTAAACATTACTCTTTAACATAGAATCTTATCAAAATATCAAAAGATTTGGATTTAAATCCCAATTTTCTATAATAAAAAAAAAGAATTGTAGAGCTATTTACGCTAATTAAAATGAATTTTAAAGCTCTGTTATGATATGAATGGAAAATTTCGTGTGCAAAATACACTCCCTTGATGTTATTCTCACTTTTTTTTATTAAAATCAAGATTACAAGTTTAATCGTGAATATTCTACTACGTGTGTTCTAAAATAATAAACACAAAAAAACACAGAAAAAAAAATCACAGCCTGAACAGAAACTTATAAAATTTAAAATGTCCAGCTTCAAATTTCTAACTAATTTGAAATTTTGCTTCCTACGCAGGTAAAACATATTTTTTAAAAAAAATTTTGATTTATGGGACAATGATGAGATCGATACCCGAGAACTAACCATTCATTCTTTTCTTCCAAACCATGCTAATGTGAGAATTTTTAACCTATATATGGTACATATGGCCTATTTAATCTATTGGCGCACCTAGTATGTTATATGGTGGGTTTTTTTTGGTTTACGAGGTTTGTATTTGCCCTCCACCCAACACAAATAAGTTAATTCTACCAAATAAACAGCCCTAAGGACAAAAATAAAAAAATTAACACTGAAAATGCGTTGCCATCGTGTAAAATTATTCAAATAATTCTTAACATCTTCTATGGTGACATATTATCATCATATTTTATTAATTGTATTTATCACAACTATGATTTTTCAATTCCTGCTATTAGTTCACTCTCCCTCTCTCTCCATATATATATATCCTGTTCAAATTTTCAATCGTTAATAAAATACTTTCTATTCATCCATTCAAGTTCAAATGCATTTTTTTAAACTTGTAATGGATGACACTAGATGTTACTACAGTTTTTTAAATATTAATTCATTAGTTAAATTAAAAGATGAATAAATAGTAACAAAAATAATAGTCCAACACCATATATAGAAAAAAAGGGTTCTTTGTGTCCCTGTAGCACAACGAATAGCGCGTTGGACTTATAATCCAAGGATCGTGGATTCGAATCCCACCTGGGATGGCCTAATTTCTGAGAATGTAATTCTTTTTAGTTTTCTATTTTATTAGTAAATAAATAGTAAGAAGGAAAAAAATATTCCAACACCCTATATAGAAAGAAAAAGGGAAAATTGCAAGGAACACACACATCGCTTTCTGTTCTGTCACTTAATATTGTGATTCGTCACATATGTGTATATACATATTTATATTAATTATAACTATTTTATAAAATGTAACTAAAATAAAAAATTTCTTTTTTTAGTAGGAATGGACGTAAAAATTTTTTTTATTACTTGTTTAAAATTTATTTATTTATTTATTAATCAGTAATTTTCTAGAATAGAAGTTAAAGAATTAACAAGCTAGTAGTATGTATAATGCGAAAACTTCACTGCAGTAAGGAAAACAGCATCATGAGTAGAGAAAGGTCTATAAGGTTAGTTTTTTAAGAAAATCGAGGCAGATCGAATAAATTTTGTTTTCGTTTTTCAATAAATTCAACAAGTTTATCCTATTGCGGCTTTCCGGTTGATTAGTAACAGACTAAGTTGCTAAGACCAGTGGTCTTCAAACTGTGTTCCACGGAACCCTGGGGTTCCATGAAGCATATTCAGAGGTTCCACGAGTCGAAATTAAATTCGGTAGGAAAACTATAAATGTTTATGCATAAAACAGATTTACGCGCGTTCACTATCTAGTTTGTATGACCACTGGTATCTTCAGACGTGTTTCGCCCCGTGTGGGACGTGAGACCCACACCGGGGATAACCAAAAAATAAATCCGGCGCCTCACAGCCTCTCTCTTTAGTAATTTCAAGCAACTTTTTAAATATTATAGTAAAAGAATACTATAAAACGTTATTTCTTTATATGTACTACCTGTTCTACCTAAATTGTGAATACTCTGTTCATGATTCTGGGCTCCATAAAATAACTTTATACTTGTTAGTGCAATATTTTGCGAAACTAAATGGAATTAAATGAATTGAATTTAGACGATAGTGTTAAAAATTATGCAGTAAAGCACCTTTTTGCATCTGTTAAAGACCTGCCTATAAAAGAACATTTTAAAAAAAAAAACAAAAAAAGGAAAGAATTAACATTAAAACAATATTTTCCAGAGGAGAAAATCAAGCATGAATAGATTAATCAGAAGGCTTGCCTAAGATGAAGGAACAACTTATTGACTTATCAATTGTTCGATGTTAAAATCTAAATTTAAGCAGGAACAGCTCTTAAATTACAGGCTGCAAATTTGCAGAATACACAGAAGTTTCTCTCACTCAGTTATAAACATTTCAATGTCATTGTGATGTTTGAATGTTATTGTGATGTTCAATGTTATTGTGATGTTGTCTCATACATTGAAGTTAAAAATATTTTTCTATGTATGAGACAACAAAAACAAAATATAGAAACAAATAAACGCAGAAAATGAAATGCGACTGCAGATAGCTTCACTAGACCTAGAATTTGACTGCTTGTGTAAAAAAAAATAAACAACACAAACACAAAGACATATCCCAGTTACTATATAAAATAAGGGTAGATTACCCTGGAGCACGAATTAATGCTAATAATGAGTAAATTACATTGATGTGCTAAAAATTTTGCAGTATTTACCTTAAGTTGTTTTTACTTTAGTACCTATACCATATGTTGATCTATTTTAAATATTAATTCAAGATATATTAGTCTAAGGTTCTTTTTTCAGTATTAAAATTTACGCATGTGAAACTTGGTCTATGTCTCGAGCCGATTAGAACACGATAAGCATCTACGAAAGAAGATCTTAAGATTTATTTTTGGAGGAATTCAGGAAAATGGAACGTGGCGAAGAAGATCAAATTGCGAGTTCTGTCAATCATATAAAGAATCTGACATCATTTACTTCATCAAAATACAACGAATTAAATGGGCAGGACACGTTGTCAGAATGGACGAAGACCGCACCACTAAAAAAAAGTCTTCAATGCCCAACCAATTGGCACACGAAGAAAGGGCAGGCCTAATCTTAGATGGATTGATGACCTAGAAAAAGATCTCCTAGTTTTGAGAACTAAGAATTGGAGAACACCGGCAGGAAGAAGGCTAGCCTGGAAAAGGCTTCTTGAAAAGGCCAAGGCTCACCCTGGGCTGTCGAGCCACTGAGGAAAGAAAGAAGGTTCTTTTTCGATGGGGTTCTCCATGGAAACACTAAGTATTAGATTTAAGGGCTCCATGCAAACACCTTACAGTTTCGAGGGTTCCAGGAGTCGACAAAGTTTGAAGACCACTGACTTAGACGATCTGAGTTGGTACGCTATACAGGAAGACCCCGCTTAACGCTGTTTCGGTTTAACGCTCTTTTATTTGAATTGTGGGATTCCCCGAAATTGCACGCAGCGTTAGGCTTCCCGATATCCGAAGCAGTTTATCTGCGTTTCTTCATTCCTGCGGTGTTATACGAACATAGTTTTATCGTTTCAAACATTTGTTGACGTTATTGTAAGTATAAATTTATGTAATATAGCGATTTCTATAATGACAAATATTATGATTTTTAGTTTTTATCATGGGTGGGTGTGGTCATCAAAGGGTTCGTTCTAGAGTATCTAGTTTTTCTAAACTCTAAATTTTTCTTTGCATCGGTGGTTCATTTTGCATGAATCTAATTTTTGAATATTATATATATTCTAATCTTCTCTTGTTTGTCTAATTTTTCCATCAAGCGACACTCACTGCTTTATTTTAAAATAACTTTTTAATAACGCGAGACGAAGTTGAATCCACAATGATGAACAAACAGACAGAGCTTTAACAAGCAGTTCATTTCTAGGAAGCAAAATATCTGCGCATGCGCACGCAGTAAGGAACAGTTCAGCAAAAAGTTTTCTTTGGTGTTGTTAAGTGGTGTGAATATTTTATTTGTTTTTATGTGTATATTCATTTCTTCTGTTTCAATATTTGTAAGAAATAAATTTTCGTTTTATTGTTATAAAAAACATAATTAATAAATTTAATGGTAAAATACCTGATCAATGTTCTATCCATCTCTCCCTAACACTATTATTTACACTATGAGATAACCTCGTTTAACTCTGTTTCATATTACGCTCTACTTTGATAGAACATATACCCCGCGTGAAGCGGAGGCTTACTGTACTTACAGTACTAAATTCCACACCACGTCAACGCGAAGAGATTTGAGCCCCAACTGATGAAAGTGTGTCAGCCCCACCACATGGTAGGTCTTTGATGATCGAACTCAAAACTCTACTGAAACACAGCTGACCACGAGTTAGTGACCATGACCTTAGAGGTCTTTCAGAGTTAACTTGGAAGCATCTAAGGTTTAAAAATAACATCCATTGCTGTGGGAGGAAAAAAATATTTCTTTCTTTAACTTAAGAGAAACGAATCTAACATTAGAAAACCGTATTTTTTCCGTGATCACAAATTATACCGCTCTTTTCTTCGCAAAAGACTTACCCAAAAAACGCATTCTACATCAAAATCTTACTTTTAAAAAAAAATTTCGCAGTAAAAGGAAATACAGCAACAGTTACATTGTTTCCAATACAACAGCTAGTATGACCTTGATGATAACTTGCTTTATTTCGCTGTCTCATTTCAGCTTTTCGTGTTAAAGAACAATGAAAAAAAAAAAAAAAAACGTAGAATCAACAAAATTGAGTTTAACAGAGTACGTTTTATTTCCATATAGATATGAATATACATGCATTAAATAAAAATCAATGAAACAAAAACATTCACACACACACAAGAACTTTATAAAATTTAATACAAAAAATTTTCGTTTTTTTTTTTTTTTAATTTATTGAGTTTTTGGAAAATAAGCTGATATTTTTCTTTGGATTGTCTTTTTTAGCATCAAATTGTCAACAAATTATTCTATGTCGTCCATTTTGTTATTCATTTCACCATTGGAATGTGTCTAAATAACTGCACACAATTTTCATGAAATTCCTCATTTGGATGACGTGGGAACAGGAACTGCATTATTCATTTCATTTTCGCCGTCGGAGTACGTATCAATATTTTTTTTTCAGCTTTCAACAAACTCCAAAATCTCTTTGTCATAATTGGGGCTATACTCACATTATCATGATTTACTGTAACAAATTCTTCCGAAGAAACAGTAGGACAGTCCAATAATACAGAAAAATAATGCGAAACCACCTCTTTGATTCCACACCCCTCTTTAAATCTCGTGTTTTCCATATTTAGTTCATTCCCAAAAAAGTAATCTTTTCGTGTTAAGCGATTTTCGTTTCGTGTTAAAAAAAACTCGATACCCTAAAAACGACCGGATTGTCTATCTTTTAAAAAAAAAAATTTTTTTTTGTCTTGTTCTTTGCATTGTTATCTTTTGATTGATATTTCACTTTTGCATGTCGGAAAGTAAGACATTGGATAAACATTTGAATAATGCAAATTCACAAATTAGGCAATTTGAGCACGCCCCCTTTTTTAGAAAAAAAAAGGCTAAAAATAGCGTTTTGGTAAAAAAAAAAATCTATTTTAAAAAGAGAAATAATTATTATAAAAAAAAATGTATAATATGTAAAGCAGGATATTACCGAGGCATAATAATAATGCATTTTTTTTTTTTTCTTTGCAAAATGTGTGCATGCAAAATGTTTGAATAAAGGCATTTTTCCTAATTCGATAATTTAAATTTTTATTCCTCATGTGTTTCACAGACAAAAAAATACTTCAATATTATGTGAAGAAAAAAACTCAAATTTCTGTCATGAAAGGAAAAAAATAAAAAATTTTAACAGTTTTCTTGAGTTTTCTTGTGCAATTAATACTCTTTAAAAATTCATAATTTATAAAAAATGTATGGGTTGAAAAAATACGAAAATGCAATTATTTTAAAGAAAACATATAGCTAATGTCTTAAAGTGATACTTTAAGTTTATTTAAGCTTAATATAATTATTTTTTCAGAATTATAAACTTTAAAGTGGTTTTTCTCAGTTTGTGTTTTTTCGATACATTAGTGCATTCAAAA